CAATAGTCCCTGGTAACGAACGCACATCGACGGCCCGGCACTCTTAAGGATTGCAACGAATGCAATTCGCGAAGCGGCAGAATAGCGTAACCGGTAATATTAGCGGTACCGGCTTCTTGAACAGAGCGATAAACGCGCTCCTTTTCGAATTGCACATACCCGGCTATCAGTTTTGCGGTGCAGGTACCCGTCTCGCGAAACGACTCGCGCAAGGCGATCGAGGTATCAATCCATTTAACGCGGCCTGCTGTGAGCACGACGTCGCATACTAGCGAAGCGACGACCTCACCGATCGATATATCGCTAACCGAGCTCTCGTCGAGAAAATGCACAAGCGTATCGCGGCGAGAGATTCAACTCTCGGCGAGAGAGCCGCCACAACAGCCGTATGGCGGCCATGAAAGCGAAGACAAAACTTGGAATTTGTTGACCGCGAGAACCAAAAGGAAAAGATAACTTCTACGAGGAAACGAACGCTTCCTGTAACAAAACGCGGCGGTTTCTTGCTCGTACTACCGTTATTGGGAACTCTCGGTTCCTTGGCTGGAAGAGCAGCAGGNNAGCAGGAATCATAAAGGCTGTGAACGATCGTAAAGCCGCGCGACAACAGCTAGAGGAGCTGCAGGGTCACGATCGCGCGATGGAAGATCGCGGTTTGTATCTCGTACCATACAAACGTGGAAGAGGAAGAATTAAAAAAATTCGTGGAAACAAACGCTAGGGATCCTCCCATCCATAGATGTAACGACGAACGAACAATTGAATCGCGCGGCGATACTCTCGCGCGTGCCTCACTTCAGAGGCGTATTTATGCGCAATGCGCTTCTGCCGCGAGTGCGCTATAATGAGAGCAGTATTGTGAATTTGGATGACGCATTGGGACCGGGTACTCATTGGGTACTCATTGGGTAGCGTACGCGAAAAAGGCAACGACGCCATCTATTACGACGGTTTTGGCAATTTTCGTCCGCCGCGCGAACTCGAACATTATCTTGGGCGTGATACGAACATCCGATACAATCGTCATTCTCAGCAGACGCGTAATCAGAGTATCTGTAGACAATTGCCTGCGATTTCTTCGGAGAATCGATTGGAATAATTTTCGACTATAACATCAGCTATTGTTCATCGATCGAGTGCAGTCGATCAGGTGCAGTCGATCATGGTTCGTCCACTCTTACCGATCATATCGCTGACTCTCACATTATCTGAACGAAGTAGTGTTCTCACGTCAAGCTACTTTCCGCCCATAGATGTAAGTGATGATGATTACGAATTAAGTCTTACTAATTTCGAGACTTACAATACGATACCAAATGTAAATTCTATGAATAATAAATTTTACTTCGACAATAAGGTTATCGTAATTCCTGTCGGATCTTACGAGTTAAGCGCTATAAGCGCGTATCTGAGAGCCGCGATTCGTCGACAACGACGAGCAAAAGAAAAAAAGCGAAAGGAGGAGGGGGGGTGAAAAACGAAAAACGAGCGATGATGACAACGATAACGATGATGACGGTGAAGATTATTATATATACAACGTCGACGACTACGAGTACGAGAACAATGAAGACGATAAAGATGAACATTCCATAGAGTTTCGCAGTAATGATAACACCATGAAAAGCGAGATCAAGTACGTGTATCGAGTAAATTTTACAAAACCCGACAACATCGCTTCGCTATTGGATTTTTCATTGTCTCATATACTACAACCGAATAAATGGTACGCGTCTGACAAACCGGTAAATATTATGGTCGTTAACATTATTCGCGTAGAATGCAACATCACAACGGGAGCGTATTGCAATGACAAATCCGAACATACGATACACGAATTCGCGCCCAATGTTCCACCTGGATATAAAGTTTCGGAGATCCCGGCGCAGATCATTTATATCCCGGTCATCGCGCGGACCATTACTGACATAAACTCAAGGGCTGAGGTTTCGCTCAGCTCTGCCGGATTTCGCCGGCTCCTGTCACCAATCCCAGGCTGTTTCACTTAGCTCTGCCGGGTTTCGCCGGCTCCTAACACCAGTCCGGGCTAAAGTTTCGTTGACGGTTTCCTGTTGCCAAGGCAGCGTCCGACGTGACACTCGGTCCTGCCTGCAATATCTAGTCACCCAGCCTGATACTAGTTCGTAAGCCGTCTGTGAATACCGCACCGTAAGAATAAGTCGCTAGCATAGTATATGCGCCGTAGCTAGTAAGCCGTAGTAGTTAAGCCCTAGTCCGTAAGCTAGTAGTAAGCCCGCTAGTCGTAACAGCGCCGTAGTAGTACACCCGCTAGTCGTCAACGCGCCATAGTGAGTAAGCTAGTCGTAAGCCCGCTTGTAGTGTACGCGGGGCGTATCCCGTTTGGACACGGAACGATTGGACACCGCTCGATTGGACACGTAGTATTGGACACGGAACGATTGGACACTGCACGATTGGACACCACACGATTGGACACCGTACGATTCAACACACGACAAGTTCTCGGAAGCTGAGTAAGCAGCTGACGAGACAAAACATACTGCCTCCACGCATATACTTTTTAATGCGTAGTAAGGTTCTACATAGGTTTACAACATTCCACGCGAAGCGAGGTTTAACGCAAACCTATGTGTCTAGCTTTCTGATAGTGGAGCCCACCCAAAGGGGGGCGGAACCCACTGTGTCCAATCGTGCAGTGTTCAATCGTGCGGTGTCCAATCGTGCAGTGTCCAATCGTACGGTGTCCAATCGTGCAGTGTCCAATCGTACGGTGTCCAATCGTGCAGTGTCCAATCGTACGGTGTCCAATCGTGCAGTGTCCAATCGTACGGTGTCCAATCGTGCAGTGTCCAATCGTACGGTGTCCAATCGTGCAGTGTCCAATCGTACGGTGTCCAATCGTGCAGTGTCCAATCGTACGGTGTCCAATCGTGCAGTGTCCAATCGTACGGTGTCCAATCGTGCAGTGTCCAATCGTACGGTGTCCAATCGTGCAGTGTCCAATCGTACGGTGTCCAATCGTGCAGTGTCCAATCGTGCAGTGAGCGTGTCCAATTGTGCGGTGTCCAATCGTGCGGTGTCCAATAATTCTGTGCCCAATCGTGCAGTGTCCAATCGTTCCGTGTCCAATACTGCGTGTCCAATCGAGCGGTGTCCAATCGTTCCGTGTCCAAACGGGTGTCACCCGTATACGCGCCGTAGCAAGTAATTCTTTGCTAACCCGTGCCGTCCGAGTCACGTAGCGCCGCCTGCACGCGCCGATTGCTTTGCATGCCGCTCCGCGCCTTAGAGCCAGCTCGCCGCCTACCGCACGCTGATCAACAACCGGTGCTTGGCCCTGTACGCCACTCCGCTTGTATACTCTATCTCAGTGGTGGGATTTAGTTGCAACTTTCGGCCGGATTTCTTGACTCACGGCCAGTGATGCCAGTTTCGAGACACGGCCACAGCCACAGCGGGTGAGGGGGATAACTCACACAAGCGTGAACCGTGTACATGTAATGCGCAGAACGCTGTGCGCATTACATGTACACGGTTCACGTTTGTATGAGTTATCCCCTCCACACGCTGTGGCTGTGGGAGCGTCTCGAAACTGGCATCATTCCTCACGCCTACGGTTCCCCCTCTTACTGCTCGCTCATTCGCAACGCAGCGCCGAACGGCTGTAACTGAGGAGCGCGTCACTAGTCTCAGGAACGTGCGTATTACAAATGTAATAACGCAATACCCTAGTAGCAAAACTGCTCATTAAAATTTTCAGTGGTTTCCCCAGTTGGCCTATTCCACTAAAGAGGACAACAACAAATAATGATTCGTGTAGGAAGGAAAATTTTATAGAAGTTAATACAATACAATAAATTAATAAAAAAAATAATACAAAATTAATAGAAAAATACAGAATATTCGCAAAAATATCAATTCAATTTTGTTCGGGAGTCGATCTCGAAGAGATCGCCCGAATCTTTAGAAACGCTCAGAGATGAGCGAGAAGCTATGTGTAACGCAAATCCGTAGATCCGCTGGAGGACAAGGAGATTTTAGAAAAGACTTGAGTGCAGATTGTTTTAGATAGTTGCTTTATTTGGAATGATAGGAGCGAGCGACAACACGTCTTCCGCGACTCCGACGGAAATCTTCGAATTGTCCTGTTAATTACTGCCCTTTTTCGCGGTTCGGAAATCTTGATTAACAGCTTCTTGCTAGAAACTCTCGCGAAAACGGAAATCTTGACCGCGAACGCTGGATGGAATTTAGCACGAGGCAGAGGACATTCGCGATGCGGATAACGAGCGTCGACTCTCAAACTCCAAACAATTAACGTTCACGATATCTGAGCACTAAATGATGAAAGAACACGAATTGAGATGTGACCAAATTGCTCGCCGCGAGAATATGAATGCGATAGTATGCGAGACAATTCGGACCGAATATGAGACGAGTAAGCCTACTGCGTACGCGACACGAGCGAGAATAAGCGAAATGCGAATGCGAAAAGTCGATGAATTTCGACCGGCTCGAATCGTTGTTGTAGGCAGACTAAATCGACCGACCGCGGAAACTCGCGCTCTGCCGATGTGAATAACAAGCTTTTTCGGTATCGAACGTTCTAGAACCAGGTGTTTGTCACGGTTTTTCACTATAGAATAACGCGATCACGCACCGAGCAGGTGATCGCTACGCTTTTTGTTCTCGCTCGTGTTTTGATTTCTGAGGCAATCGTTTGAATATAACGGCGACGTTCGTCATTGAAATTTAGACACAAAATTTTAATGTTTCAATTTTGAACATACCGCCCGCCTTGGAACAATGGTTCCAAAATAATCGATACAACGATTGCATCAAACGACAAGAGCGCACGCCACATTTAATGACATAAGCAAGAGTGATTGTTATGAACGCGATATGATTCAACGCTTTGAATCTGCCACCTGCCTTGGCGGAAGGACGCTCGCATTTTGACAGTTTTGAGCTTAGGTCTAACGAAGTATAGTAAATAAAACGCAACGCAGCGAAGGTGCCTAATTGCTCGTTGCCTCATTATTGACCGGTAGTACGCACAGTTTGACAATCGGTCTTTTGAATTCGGATGTGGCCGTCTTTACGGTGACGACCCATGCGAATCCGTCGGAGCCGGGGTGACAGCGTGTCACTCGGCCCAACTCCCATTTGCAGGAGGGTAACAGCGGATTACGCAATAGAACAAGTTGCCCGGTTTTAATCGGTGGTTTGACGTTTCGCCATTTTGCTCTTTGTTGTAAAGTATTTAAGTAATCGTTACTCCATAGCTTCCAGAATCGCTGGGTAACGTGTCGCACGAGTTGCCACCTCGAAAGACGATTTTCGTTGAGATCGAGCAATGATAGTTCCGGGTTGACAGTAAGTGCGGATTCTATTAAGAAATGACCGGAGGTTAGACACTCGTAGTCCTCAAGCGTATCGGAGAAGGGCGCAATCGGCCTAGAGTTTAGACACGCTTCGATTCGGCATAATAACGTCGAGAATTCTTCGAATGTTAGCATATGATTACCTAACACGCGGCGCAGATGAGTTTTTACGCTCCGTACGCCCGCCTCCCACAATCTGCCGAAGTGCGGGGCAGAGGGGGGAATAAAATTCCACGACACTTTATCGGAGGCCGTCAGATTCAAGAAGTTCGGATCTCGTATTGCTGATCGGTACGCGATGGTCAACTCTCGGTCCGCCCCGATGAATGTAGTCCAGTGATGCCAGAATGGCCACGCTAGCAACACGCAACCGTAGTGGAGGGGATGACGCACACAAGCGCAAACCGCGTACGTGTGAGCTCGGCGCTTCGGCTGGCTTCGGATAGCAAAAGAGGACAGATATACTGTTTTTTGTCTCTCTCCTTCTTATCGAGCCGGCACGAAGACCGGGCGGTACACGTCACACGATCCCGGCTCACATAGGTATTCTTGGCAACGAAATGAGATCAACAACATCTTGTGCATTGACTGTAAAAACATTTTATATCTTCCGTCTATTGATACCGCAACCATGAAATATGGTCGCGATAATGAAAATGTAGCGAGGAAAGAATTGGCCATGAAATTAAATAAAGCAATAAAACTTTGCGGATTGTTCATTGATAATGAAAATCCATTCTTGGGTGCGTCTCCTGACGGACTTATTGAGGAAAATGGTCTTGTGGAAATCAAATGTCCTCTGTCGGCTGAACATTTGACAGCAGAAGAAGCCATAGAGACATTGCCTTCTTTGAAGTGCATCTTTGATAAACAAAATCCACATAAAATGAATCGGAATCACCGATATTTTTACCAAGTTCAAGGTCAATTGAATATAACAAAGCGAGAATATTGCATTTTTGCTGTTTGGACGCCAAAAAGCATAAAAATATTGCGTATTAGTACAGACAATGAATTCTGGAAAAATCAAATGCTGCCTTTTCTAACACGCTTCTACTACGAATGCATGCTTCCAGAAATATATATATTATATAATAATAGACATATGCCAATCAGAAATCCAAAATATATAACAGAAGCTAAAGAAAAAGCAGCGAAACAAATAATTGGCCGAAAAATTATTCGGCGAAATATTATAGAAAATGCAAATATTTTCGAAGAAAAAAAGCAAAGCAAATCAAATGTTTTGCCTGTAGAAGCAGGAGCATTTACTGGTACTGCTGCTACTCTGGATACAGAGCAAGATGATGATTGTATCATAGTTAGTTATTCAAATAACAAACATGATATTACTAAAGACGATGTGGAGAGACATGAAAAAATTTTAAATGCGATTGCTCCTCTCTCTGTCGTGAAGGATAATATCTTGCCTATAAACAGCAAAATAAACGACGAATCATTAGATCGATTTTTACGTATCGTAAGAGAAATTTCTGATTTCGAAACGCAAAGTGTGCAATATTTGGAGTTTCCTCATATGATTGCAGCTAGTAATAGTAATAAAAGCTTACAAATCATTGGAGGGAATTGTAGTGATCACTGGCGATGTATTTTCTTTGATGGCACTAAACTTTGCGTATACGATAGCCTACCTGGCTGTACATGTGGTAAGTTAGTAGCTAAAGAGGAAAATTATATACATCTACGTTATCCTACAATAAATTAAGGTAACATTATTTTTGAAAAGGTTCAAATACAACCTGATGACATATGTTGTGGGATTTACGCTGCGGCTTTCGCCACGACTATAGCCTTAGGAGGAAACCCTTGTGAACAAAAATATTCCAAGGATGTAAAAAGCATGAGAGAACACTTTTTTAAAATTATAGAAGGCAATAAACTACTGCATTTTCCACAGTGATCAAGCGACGCGGTAGCGTCGCGACGCCAAGTATATTTTTTTAACCTTTGTGAGGTTTTTTTTTAGTGGGATAACAAATTATCGAAAAAATGTATCGTGATACTTGTACAAATATTGAAAAAAAAGATGCCTCAATCTCGATTGCAAATTATAATCGGAAAGACAAAAACATATATTTGTTGCATTCTCACGCGATGGAGGGACCCATTTTATATTTTCAATATTCTGAATATTGTAAAAATATATTTTTCTGTTGCGATCAAGACAGACAATGTATTGTAAATCTTTATTACAAATATATAAACATTTATGTATACGAACAAAAAAAGACATAATATAATATATATTTATATAAAAAATACATTGTTGTTATATATCCATTGATTATATCGATTGAAAAAAAATGAGCTGCATTGCATAGATTGCAACTTATAGAAAGTTACATGATAATATCCAGAATATATGTATATGTATCATACACATACATCTGTATACGTCTATGTATAATTACATATACATATACATATATACAGGGTGGGGCATTTATATTGAGACACCTAAATATCTAAAAAATAAAGCAAGATAGAAAGAAATGTTTCAGACAAAAGTTGTTCGGTTCTAAGGGAGTCATAAGATACTGCTATTAGTTTGACCTTGGGTGGAGACGCTTCGGAGATTTCAATGTCAATCTTGTTTTTTTAAATGGAAATACCTCAATTTTTTTACATAAATCGATTCCTTGCAATATTCTGCACAAAAAGTTATAGGGGTATGATGGCCAAAAGTTTAATAGTTTACGAGATATTTTATACTTTACGTGGCAAGCATTTATAATATGTTTTTTCATATTTTCTGGTGTAATACGACTCAATGAATGTATTGCCAGTAATTCTTTACCAAACATACACAATAATAACATTATTGTGTACGTTTGGTAAGGAATTATTGACATAATAATACAACGCGCGTCTTCAAAATCATTGACATAAAAGTTATTTAGTTGCTCATTGAGAAGCAAATAATGTAGTACGAAAGTATTACGCTAGTCATTTCGTTCTTGTGTACAGTGTACTATTTAAGTAAGAACAATTTATTTAGTTAAAATGGAAAGATTAACTTTGGAAGAAAAAATTAATATGACTTTTATTTATGGTGAATCTCGAAGAAACATCTGTGAAACACAAAATTTATACGCATTACGATATCCTGAGAGAAATATTCCATCACGTTGTTCATTTTATCGTGTTGTGAAACAATTTTCAGAAAATGGAGATGTTCGTGAAAAAGAAAGAAAACGATCAAGGACTGTCATTGGTGAAAATAATGAAACTATCGTATTAGCAGCAGTAGCTAGGAATCCACAAATATCTTCTCGTAGTATTTCTCGCAATACTGGAATATCTCGAAGAAGTGTTTTGAGAATACTTAAACGTAATAAATTCCACCCGTATCACATCTCATTACATCAACAGCTAAGTAATACTGATTTTCAAAATCGAGTGACGTTTTGTCGTTGGGCGCAACAAAAAATAGAAAGAAATAACAATTTTTTCCTTTCTGTCTTATTTTCTGATGAATCAACTTTCATAAATTGTAGAGAAGTCAATCGACATAACATGCATTACTGGGCTGTGGAAAATCCAAGATGGTTACGAGAAGCTGAACATCAGCGGCCACGGAGTGTTAACGTATGGTGCGGAATTATTGGTGATACATTAATTGGACCTTACTTCTTTGATGGGACGTTGAATGGACAAAAGTACAGAGATTTTTTAGATCAAGAACTACCATTACTACTTGATGAACTACCTTACGAACTAAGAATGCGTATGTGGTTTCAGCAAGATGGTTAGGTTGCTTGTCCAGCGCACTTTTCACGTCAAACTCGAGAAATATTAGACAGAGATTATAATAATAGGTGGACAGGACGAGGAGGAACGGTTCATTGGCCTGCCCGTTCCCCAGATTTAACATCTTTAGATTTTTTTGGTAGAGATTTCTTAAAGGAATTGTATATCAAGATGTACCAATGAAAGAACGTATTAAAAATGCTTGTCGCGATATTGATAGGATGACTTTGTTAAACGTTCATCAATCTCTCATTAAACGTATTCAAAAGTGTATTGACGTTGATGGTCATCATTTTGAGCATTTAATAAAATAAAATTTTTTTCTTAAAATTAATTGTATTATTTTCTTTACACCAATTGATGTCTCTTATTTTTTGAGCTTAAAATATTAAGGTAACATTATTGCAAAATAAATAATTTTATGAGATATTTCATAGTTTATGTAAAATTATGTCGAAGTAAAGTAATAAAATAAAGTATAAAATATCTCGTAAACTATTAAACTTTTGGCCATCATACCCCTATAACTTTTTATGCAGAATATTGCAAGGAATCGATTTATGTAAAAAAATTGGGGCGTTTCCTTTAAAAAAAAACAAGATTGACATTGAAATCTCCTAAGCCTCTCCACCAGAGGTCAAACTAATGGCACCATCTTATGACTCCCTTAGAACCGAACAACTTTTGTCTGAAACATTTCTTTCTATCTTGCTTTATTTTTTAGATATTTAGGTGTCTCAATATAAATGCCCCACCCTGTATATACGCGCGTCTTCAAAGTCATTGACATAAAAGTTATTTAGTTGCTCATTGAGAAGCAAATAATGTAGTACGAAAGTATTACGCTAGTCATTTCGTTCTTGTGTACAGTGTACTATTTAAGTAAGAACAATTTATTTAGTTAAAATGGAAAGATTAACTTTGGAAGAAAAAATTAATATAATTTTTATTTATGGTGAATCTCGAAAAAACATCTATGAAGCATAAAATTTATACGCATTACGATATCCTGAGAGAAATATTCCATCACGTTGTTCATTTTATCGTGTTGTGAAACAATTTTCAGAAAATGGAGATGTTCGTGAAAAAGAAAGAAAACGATCAAGGACTGTCATTGGTGAAAATAATGAAACTATCGTATTAGCAGCAGTAGCTAGGAATCCACAAATATCTTCTCGTAGTATTTCTCGCAATACTGGAATATCTCGAAGAAGTGTTTTGAGAATACTTAAACGTAATAAATTCCACCCGTATCACATCTCATTACATCAACAGCTAAGTAATACTGATTTTCAAAATCGAGTGACGTTTTGTCGTTGGGCGCAACAAAAAATAGAAAGAAATAACAATTTTTTCCTTTCTGT